TGCAGAGGAAAACTATGGCAAATCTAGACAGCATACTAAAAAGCAGAGATATCACCCTGCCAACAAAAGTGCATATAGTTAAGGCTATGGTTTTCCCAGTTGCAGTGTATGGCTGTGAAAGTTGGACCATAAGAAAGGCTAAGTGCCAAAGAATTGAGGCCTTTGAACTATGGTGCTGGAGAAGACTCCTGCGAGTCCCTTGGACTGCAAGGCGATAAAACTGGTCAGTCCTAGAGGAGATCAACCCTGACTGCTCTTTAGAAGGCCAGATCCTGAAGATGAAACTCAAATACTTTGGTCACCTAATGAGAAGAAAGGACTCACTGGAGAAGAACCTAATTCTGGGAAAGATTGAGGGCAAAAGAAGAAGAGGACAACAGAGAATGAGGTAGCTGGATGGAGTCACTGAAGTAGACAGTGTGATCTTAAATGGACTCCAGAGGATGGTAGAGGACAAGAAAGCCTGGAAGAACGTTGTCCATGGGATTGTAATGGGTCGGACACGACTTCACAACTAACAACAACAATCTAATAAAGCTGATGAGGTTTCCTGAAGCTGAATAAAAATCCTTGTGATTACATGTACAGGCACATGGTTTCCATGGCTCCAATATGAAACTGGTTTGTTACTGCAATTCTCTGGGATCTTTTTAGCTTAATCTTAGGCTTTTCTAATGGTTTCTCCCCAAAGTGCTAGCCAGGCCTGACTCTACTTAGCTTCCAAACTAGGCAATATCAATAAAAACAGTCCATGGCATCAGTTGCATGATACCTTGCCCAACCCTTAGCAATCAAGAGCTGGGAATGGATAGTGAACAGCTCAATTACAGGTAGTGTTTGACTTACGATCATTTATTTAACAATGATTTGTAGTTACAATGGCCTCAGAAAAAGTGCAGAAATGGAGCTCATGAAGATCTAAGATCCCTTTCAGCACCCCACCAGAAGAGTTTCCTTCCATGCACAGAAGAGAATTCACATCCTTCTGCAAGGTGCAGGAACGATGTTTCATGTTTAAGCTTTGTTTCTCCACCCTGTGGAATGATGTCAGCTCTCTTCCATGCATTAAAGAAAGCTGCTCTGGTGGAATGCCGAAAAGCTTAAATCTTCACGATTTAAAGTTCATATCTGTACCAGGGGGGAAATCCAGCAGGTTCTGACAGGCTCTGGAGAACCGATAGCAGAAATTTTGAGTAGTTTGGAGAACCGGAAGTGGGAATTTTGAGTAGTTCAGAGAACCAGCAAATACCACCTCTAGCTGACCCCAGAGTAGGGAGGGAATGGACAGGGGAAGGATTGCAGTATCCTTCCCCTGCCATGCCCACCAAGCCACACCATGCCCACCAAGCCACGTCCACAGAACCGGTAGTAAAAAAAATTGAATTTCACCACTGAGCTGCATCCTACCAAAGGAGTTCCCTGTGCGTGGAGGAGAGATGATATCCTTCCATAGGTGCAGCAGCAAAGCTTAGATCTTCATGATGTAAGATTTCTTTTTGCCCATCAACAAAGACATTTCTTTTGATGCATGAACAGATGCGGAACTCTTTCTGTAGGGTGCGGAAATGTATCTTAAATTGATACTCTCCATTCTGCCATGCCTGGGAAGCCTCCAAAGAATGGTGCCCACTTGCAGAATGGTACAATGTGGTCTCTATAAGAAGACCATGCCTTGCATTGACTGTGTGTAAAAGATAAGTAGAGCAATTTATATGCTCTGCAGTGTTCTGAAACCAATTGATCAGGGATGAAATGCTCCCGGTTCGGACCAGCTCGGATGAGTAGGTAGTGATGGCAGCGGGCAGTTCGGAGAACCGGTAGCAAAAATCCCTTCCCCATCCCAGCCTCCAGCTTTCTTACCTTCGCATGCCTGCCTTGCTTCGTTTGCTGTAATCCCTGCAATCGATTGCATCAGCAAGCAACTGAATCTCCCTACCTGCAATCAAGCTCATCGGTGAGCAGCTCTTTCTGCCTGTCTGCCTGCCTGTGAGTTTTTTCCCCCTTTGGGAGCTTTAAAAAAATAGTTAATTAGGGTTTTTTTTAGTCATTCTTTTTTTAAACCTAGCCATTTAAAGTTTAGGAAGTTTTAAATTTAGTTGCTTTTATATAAAAATAAAATAAAATAATGTTTGTGCAGCTTTCTGAGATTTTGTGTGTTTCTGTAGTGTTTCACTCTAACTACACAAACACACAAAATCTCACAAAGCTGTATGTGGAATTTTGTGTGTGTAAAGTGTGAAAGTTGGTTTTTTGGACTTTTTGTGGCTGTGTGGTTCCTGCTTATTGCAGGGGCCATTTTGCCCCTGCTTTTACATTGTGGGTGAGCCTGTTGTGTTGTGTTGTGTGTGTGTAAAGTGTGAAAGTTGGTTTTTTGGGCTTTTTGTGGCTGTGTGAGGTTCCTGCTTGTTGCAGGGGCCATTTTGGGTCTAGCACAGCTGCTTTTACATTGTGGGTGAGCCGGTTGTGTTGTATTGTGTTTTGTAGGTTAAAAAAGGGCAAAGAAGTGATCTTGACTTGGCCATGCCCACCTGACCAACAAGCCACGCCCACCCAGTCTCCTTATCACCAAGCCCCACCCACTAATTAAGCCACACCCACAGAACCGGTAGCGAAAATTTTTAGATTTCACCCCTGCAATTAATGCTTTGGGTACAGTGGATATTGTGGATGTTGGTTCGCCCTGTAACCCAGCCAGGGTTTCCTGAGTCTGGTGGGCCAATGGGATACTGAAGCCTCCAGGGACTCCATTTCACATGCCACTTAATGACCCACATGATCACTTAACAACTGCAACTGAGAGAGCCAGGATTTCAGTTATTGAGTGAAACAGTCATGTGGGCTTCTCATTTAATAACCAGTGCACCTAACGACCAACATTATGGTCCCAATTGTGGTCATAAGTTGAGGACTATCTCTATATTAAGTCACAGTCTCAGTTCATCTAAATGAGAGCAGCAATAAAAAGACATCAGGAAGGAGAGAGAAAGAGAGAGAGAGAATAAGTTCAGTTACTGGAATTCCCCTAGACTATATTCAGGTTACAGAAGTCTGATTTGAACCCTATAAAGTATTTGTATTTCCTTAATGACAACTCTCATAACAGATCACAATGCATTATTTATTTTCACTATTTCTTATCTTTCTTATTATAAAGGTTTTTTGGAATCATATAACTTAGTAAGAGGAAACACTATGTTATGCATTTGCAACAAAAGGAATAGTTTAATTACCACTTTTAAAATGCTTTGCAGTGATACTCAATGGATGTTAAATTAATCCAAAGAAATATTAAGTAGAGAAAATTAATACAGAACAAGGATGCACTTTGTTAATGTGCTAATGAAAGCCGAGTTACATGTTGGGAATAACAGGATTAAAATATGAAGGTAAAATCCTCAATATTCTAATTACAAATTCAGCTGTAGGTTACTATTAGTGACAGTTCAAGGTTGATGAATAAACTTTACAGGGAAACAGAAAAAAGTCCTCAAATAAAATTCTTGGTGCCTTCATATGAACAACTTGACACATAAAAACCTTTCTCAGATAATTGGGTTCCTCATTTCACAGGAACACAGTATTTTAATTGGTAATTGAATTTAGCTGAAATACCCACTTAAAAAGAATTTGTAATTTCTTTTATATACTTAGGTCAGCAAACAAAACCAAATCCCATTAATATATTTAATAGTAGAAAAATTAGAAGCATGTTCATTCAATTCTTTAAGAATATGTACTAAATCTGCAATAAATGCAGAAGAAAGACTTGTTTTTTGTAGTTGTCACTTTGTTTATAAAGGGTGTTAATAGCTCCTTTTTTTTGGCTCTTTCTTCCCATTCTGTTCAGAGAATCATATATCTCAACTTCAGACATAGAGACACTGTCCCAGTGCCTAAAGATTATTAACCTGCCCCTACTGTTTAACATCTGCATGAAGCTATTGGGTTAAATCATTTATTAACATGCAATCAAGTATGATCAAAATGCTGCTGATACCCAGGTGTATATTTCAATCTGAGGTGAGTCATATTGTCAAGAACTTGCACCATGTTGTTGGAGTTCGATTGGAGAGAAACAGACTTCAACTCAATCCTGTCAAATGTTCTGGATTCTCCCAGTACTTTCCATTTTAAGCTCTGAATAGTACAGCACTCCCCAAGATAGAAGTGGTGCATAATATAGGAATTGTCCTGGATTTATAGCTCCTGCTGCTGCAGTAGTTGGCAGCTGTGGCAAATGTGCCATTGCCCAGATTTGCCTGTTGTGTTAATTGTTCTCTTTACTTTCCTGCAATAGGAATAGGAATCCCTTTTCACAATGATTCATGCTTTAATTAGTTCACGTATGGACTATTGCAATGTGCTGTATAGTTACATGGGCTCAAAAGACCACTCAGATGTTGCATTTGATCTACATCTAAGTACACCCATGTAAAGCATCTGCTGCATGACTGCATTAGTTACCACCAAGCTTTCAATAGGTGCATTTAATGGATGCTAGCTGTGACTTTTAAAGGCCTTCATGGCATACAGTCTAGCTATCTGATGGATTGCCTTTCTCCCATGATTTCTGCCAATCTGGCATTGTCTAGGAGTGTTTTCTGATGGGACTCGGGTGGCATGGCTTCTCTTTCATGGTTCCTGCCCTCTGGGATAGTTTCCCTAATTTACTATCCTTTAAATACTGTAGGCCTTGAAGACCTGGATTTTCCCCAGGCACTAGGTAGAAATGTCAGTAATTTTACTGAATTGTTTCGCATTTTATTTCTGGTTATAGTTTGTTTTTATCAGTGTACTCCACAAAGTTGGGGCAGCCTAAATGATTGGTGTGTATATATTCAGATAATACCACATTCAGTGGAAGCAGCATTAGATGATCTCAGCAATTCTAATTTTTAACCTGAGTAAGTAACAAGAATGAACATAGATGAAACAGTGAATTAAGATGAGGACCAAAAAAAAAAAAAAAAGCAATTAAAAAAACAATAAAAAAGGGTTACCTTAAAGCAACCGTCTTTCCATTCCTGTGTGTGCACATCACCTGCCGGGTCTGATATCCAATTTGTATGTCCCAATATTTATTCTCCTGTCTGTTCTGCCTGTTATGATTCCTTTTCTTCTTAATTAATTCCCGGGTTTCTGGATCCCGAATATTCTTCTCCTTTTCTTTCTCCTTTTCTTTGTTCTTCCCACGTTTCCTTGCCTGTCTGACATGCCGCAAGTGAGGAATTGAACAGGTACTCCAGGACCCCACATTCAGACTATACAGGTTTTCTTCAGTGGCACAGAGGGCTGAGCTACAAGCCTGAAACTCTGTCAGATTGGGGCAGGCAGAACCCCCATAACGAGGGGGAGCTACAATATGGCGAAAACGGTAGGATAGCCCTTTGCCGCAGCTCTTAGAACACTCTGTCCAGGCTGAGAAGTCAGATACAATGCAATCTTGCTGGCAAGGGATGAGACATCCCTGTTCTAGCTGAGGCTTTGGCTCAAAGTATTCACATATGGCGTCCTCAACTATCACACCATTTGATTTTTGGACACAAATAATATCTCTCCTCTGAATTCCTTCTTCCCCATTCACACATACTGTTGTTTTTTCAATGCTTTTTGAAAGAATGGGCTGACACTGGTTCCAGCTGCCCAGCTGCCAGTCATACAGTTCCTTGTGCCAGTCACAAACTCTGAAGCAATTCTGTTGGTTGTCAGGTCTCTCTGCCTGCTTGCAATTTGTGAAGAGGGTAGTCCATCCTTCCACATGAGCACACCATATAGCTCGAGTCTGGGTACCTCCTGGGCCACATTCATCTCCCATACACCTGCCCCATGGACCTACAAAAAATGGAAGAAAAAAGGGAGACTGACAACTTATACCCAATAACAGAGACCTAGAAAAATCAAGCTCAGTTAAAAGAATAACATTTCTGGAATCTGCATCTTACTTAAGGTTACTTGCATCTCATGTTGCACAGTGAAAAGAATATTATATGAATATAGTTCACTCCATCTGGTTTTCACCCCCTCTTTCTATATATTAAGAAAATGTTTAGCTGTTTCTTTTTCCTTTAAAGTTGAATGAATGATGTATTTTAGGAATCAACCTTTTCTATTGATGGGAATCAATAAGCACTTTGTATATGATCAAATAAATATAAATGATTTTACATATGTGTACACAAATAAAAGACACACACACAGCCAAGGTTTCATCGTGTATTGTATGATGTCACCTAAATTTTGTTGAGTTCTTATGCAAGAACATAGAGATTTTATAAGTTGCAAGAATTGCATAAGATTTTTAGCTATTACTGTTATTATTATTATTATTATTATTATTATTATTATTATTATTTTGAAAGTTAGTGAATTCTATCTAATGATCTTTTGCAATTGAACTGCAGCAGGTATACATTTATCTTCAACATTAACACATCATAACTGGTGCATATTTTAAGGCAAACCTGGAATACAGATATTAAGAAACAGAAAATTCAGTTACCATGTTAGTTGTCAGAAATTTAAAAACACATAGCTACTGAAGAAAAAGACTAGGTGCAGATTAAACTAGAATTAAGGTTTTCAATATTTAGCTAGATACTCAGCAAAATCAATGAATGCTTTGTATATAAATTCATTTCAGGGAGATTACCCTAATTTATCTCACTGAGCATGATTGTCACACTTGTTTATTCCACTTTGTGCATATTTATGTATAAAAGTCATAGGAGAAAGAATAATTTTCTACAGAATATTACTGAACAGCACTACACAAATTTATAAGAAAAATAATTGAACTACAAAACCTTTCATGCTACAAGCCTCTGTCTTAGCATATTTTTACATATTTTGTACACATTGCAACCAAGCCTTCATTAATAGATGGAACTGCTGCCAGTCTACTCTAGATGACAAGCTGTAGCCTTTGTGCATCAAAATGTTCAGGTTTAGACCCAACTCATATTCAAAAGAGAATTCAGCATATCAAACAGTTGTCAATGGATTAAAACATGCCAGCCCACAAACTGGATCTCGGTAAACAAATAAACTGACATTATTATGCCATGTTGCAAGACCTGACAGCAAGAAAGAAAATATACTTTCCAATGTTAAGCTGCAAAGGTGATAAATAGTTTTAGCAATGGCTCTGATGGCATCTCAGGCTTATTATAGGTTTAAGAGGTCCATAAAACATGCTACAAATGCAGCATGCTGTGAGGCTAGATGAGGTTTTGATAGAGTATTTTATAACCAAGTCTTTAAAGGTGTGGCTGAGCAGAAAACTGTAAAAATGAATTAGTAAAAGGAACAGAGAAGCAACAGGAGGAATTAGAATTCAAGAGAAGAGAAGTAGTATAGTGGTAGGAAATGATAATGATCCCTGGTTTAAATTTTCAATATCTCAAGATTAAATTGGGAAAATATTCATATCTGAACTCATATAACTAAACATTTTCCTACATGTTTCGAATGACAATTAGCAGAATTCTATGTCAGTTGGCTAGTACAGAGCATTCTGAAGTAGCATAGCACATTACTCAGGAAAAAATAAAAGTTATATATCTTCCAGACTTATAAGTAAACAAGTTCTGTAGATAAACTGTATAATGCTTTCTACATGGAAATAAAGAGATAAAGAGGATTCAACAGATTATGAATTAACCTCAGATTGAAAAACTCAAAAATAATATTTCTGAAAAGCTTTCTATTTTAATCACAAGCAAAGACAATGCTGTTGTTTACCGGTTGCATCAGATCAGAAGTAGTTTGAAATACTCTTAATAATTTCAAACAATTTCACTGATATGAAACATTTGCTATCAACTCAAGGTTTTGAAGACCTTCACATAAAGAGATTGAATTAGGCACTACAGCTCATGTGCCTCTCCCTACATAGAATTTGATAGAGTGGAGCTGTTAGATGGGTATATGATGGTTAACTGAACAGGTTGATGTTGAAGCCAAATTTAAGCGCAACAAAATCATGGTAAATTGGGCCAGAAAAAGCCATCCAAGGAGAACTTACAAGATATTGGATTACAATGATATGACAGCTATGTGGATTCTCTGAAGAAATAAGCCCACAGTATGACAGTTATAGAGAAAAGGGCTGGGAGGGAAGCAAAGTTAGATTGAATAATTCAGACAGCAGTGTAGAAATGATTGATTGTTTAACATTTAGGGGAAGACTGGATCTTGTAGCTTTTCTGGAGATGGATTATAAAAACTGTAATACTTTCAAATTTAAATAGAGTACGATGGAAGAGAAGGAACAGAGATCAGAAGACCGACATGGCCCCAGTATCTATGTTACATAGAAAATGAGGCACAGTGATACAGAAAAAGACCTTCACTTGTGGATGAGAAAGTGCTGAAGAGTGTAAGTAGAATATCCAATAGCTGCAGAAGGCTATACTTCACATATGCCAAAATGAGCAATGTCATGATGCTATCTGGCAAATAATAGAACATGATGTAATAGGCAAAGCAAATAAAAACTGGCCAGTACAATTGTCACTCAGCATTTTGTTCTTGTTGTATACCATAGTTATTTTCACAGCATCTAAACCACCACATATGCAACTCAGAAATACAGGCCATTTCCTTCTTTGTGAGCTTGCAAAGTGGAACTATGATTACATTTTTAAAAATCTCTCTCTGTAGGTGTGTATATGCATGCATGTATATGTGTGTTTATGTGTGTGTGTGTATCTATATATACATACAGTGTGTATTGTGTGTGTATATGATATTCTAATAAAGAGAAGTCATCATAGAACAAAAAATAGATTTATATTACCGACCTAGGCTTAATGTCAGGATAAAGGATATTCTGCTTTATTTGCATGGAACATAGTTATTCCAAGGCCCATGTATAGTTAAATATAGTTTTACTTTAAATCCATAAATAATTAGCAAAGGAATTAGCATTGTGAACTTTAAATCACATTGCTTTTTTCTCATCATATGTACCAATAATATTTGCACTCTCCCCAAGTATAAGAGTCTAACCCCTGAAAGCAAAGGAAAAATGAATTTCATCCATGCCAATAGTAAATTCTATACTATTTGTTCCCTTTGCATTCCATAAAAAAAAAAACCTACACTCTGATCCTTAATCCTTACTTACTACCTATTGTGATATGCCCTTCCTAATACAGGGAGTCCTCACTTACTGACAGCCTTGTGCATTTGAAGTTACAATGATGTTAAAAATAATTTTGCAACCAATCCTCAAAATTATGACTTTATAGCATCCCCCAATCACATGATCACCATTCATGTACTTTGCAGCTGGTGCACATTTTCGGTTGTGACAAGCAAAGCTAGGAGGAGGCAGAAATAAAATCATACATCACAGTCACATGATCTTCCACTTAGTGATTTTATATATATATATCTTATCACTTCATTTTAATGACTGAAAAGAAAGTACGGATATAAGCCTTTTCATGGTCATGTGATTTTTCCAATTAGCAACTAGGTCATTTGGCAACCAAGTGGCCGGTCCCAATTGTGGTCCCTAAGCAAGGAGTTCCTGTAATTGAATTCTACAGAATCAGTGAAGAGACTTTATTTCCAATGAAAGAAAGAACCAGAGATTGCTTACATGAAATAAAAAGGGTATTTTTTTTTTTTTAAAAAAATAGTGAAATAGGTTCTGAGAGGTCATTTGTTTGAATTCTTTTCTTCTATTCCATATCTTTATGGAAAGTGTCTAAGTCACAATTAGGGACACTATCAGAGGTCATATCCTCCAAAATCAATAATAACTTGGTTTAAAGATAAGTGTTAGATATAACAAGCTTTAAAAAAAAACCTTTGAAATGGATAATGAGTAGATAGCTAGGGACAGATTGGATCAAAGAAACAGAACCTCCTGTCAAATTGATAAACTATAGATCCATATCATCTTAAATTGCAGTAAAAAAAACCCATTTGATTTAAATCTTTCCAAACAACAATAGAAAAATCATCTTATTTCAGAAACATCATTGTACTTAATGCAGAAATAAGTAAAAACTCTGGAAATATTTCTCCAGAGCTTTAAAAATAAACTCGGGTATCATCTAATATCAGCAGTAACCAAATCTTTCCTTTCCAATAGTTGCAAAAGTTATATTTAGTGAAAAACAAGGCTGCAGATATATTTAATTTCTTAGAAGCTAGCCTGCTGAATAATTATTCAGTTTGTATTTAAACTTAGAAATAAGGTAAGCTGTAAACTGTGGGTGAACAGCTGGATGCCCCAGTTTGAATCTTTCATAAGGGATGTTCATAGCCACCTCCATCTCCATTGTCAAACTGGAGACAAAAGAGCCATACAGAAATTACAGTCTTTGAGATGACTAGTGGTGGATGGTAGTCACAGTGTGAGAGCCAGGAATCACGAGCCAAGAATCATGAGCTAAGCCTCAAATACAGATATAGTGAAGACCTTTGTTATCCAGATAATGTCTTTGATCCAGAAACCTTTATGTTCCTTCCAAGTTATAGTTACTTTTTTTTTTAGTGCTTCACCTTAACAATGGATTCTGAGCACTGGGCTACTATTCCAATATTGGCTCGTTCTCAGAAAAACTAACCCCCTCTAGGCAAATCAGAGCTTAGCTATCCAGGGCCTCCAGGCTCATTTTTATGGTTCTCAGAGGAACACAGATGGCACTGCTGAAATTTGGCAAGCAAGCAAACAAGCAAGCAAGCAAACAAATAAATCTATCCACCTACCATGATAGGATGCTTTTGTGTTTTGTTTTTATTATTTGTTCATTGGGCCATTTTTAATATATAATAGTTGTTCACTGATACACACCACCCTAAATTAAATACCAAGAAGCAGCTGTATCAAATAAATAAAGCATGTTTGGATACAAAACTGGCACATTAAAGCTTTATACAGTCGAGACAACAATTTTAGAACTCAAAGCTCTCCAGTGTGGTGGTGGTGGTGGGGAAATAAACCCAAGTAGGACAAACTCCTTCAAATGCAATCCAAGAAACATTTTATAATGAGGTATGTCCCTTGCACTCATTTAAAGAGAAAAAAATAATAATAATGAAAGTGCATTTTCTAATCAAACGAGAAGTGGGAGAAAAATTACTTTTCCTGCAGTAAATAAACAAAAACTTTCAGTGGACCATAATGCATTGCTGCACCTAAATTATTCAGCATGTAGTAGGGTACTCTTCTATTGAAAACGAGCTAGAAGCTCTTAAGCACCTGGCTTCAGTTTAAAGATTCTCTGTCCCGATCATGATGAAGAGGCGGGTAATAACAGGGACAATGAAATGTGTGTGGTGACTTACAAAACATACACAAAAACAAAGAATCAGGACACAATTGTCTTAGTCAATTTATATTCATAGAAACAAATTTAGAAATAATTACTATAATTTTCCTGAAATAGCAATATAGCTCACTATGCTACAGACACTATAAACATCTGCTAAGATTCTGATGGGAAATTTCAAAGCTTGAACTGAGCAATCTTTCAACCCGGGATGTTATTAAAGGATCATTTTATGGAAAACTGAACTGAGGTGGGCTTTAGAGTTGCTAGAGCAAATATGATGGGATGCAGAAAGGGGTTTGGAAAACTGAGGCGAAGTGAGAGGCTTAAGCAAGAGAAGGGAGATGGCCTAAAGAGAAAATAGAAATAGAAACAGATATTACTGTATAGGTGAAATGTCACACTTTGCATTACAATACAAGCTGGGGCTGCCAAGATGTATTGGGAGGTGTTAGATGGCAAACCCTAAAATCCCAGAGAATTCCTGACTGGGAATTCTATGTAGTTCCCACACACATGGAAGTAGCTGGAATTCAGTATTTCTGCATACTTTCAAAAGTGTTCTTTCCTCACAAATCCCTTAAGTCTGAGTTAGTTTAAAAAAAAAAAAACATGGCTCTGTGGCAGTGGTGAAATCCAATTTTTTTTTTTACTACCGGTTCTGTGGGCGTGGCTTTGTGGGCATGGCAGGGGAAGGATAATGCAAAATCTCCATTCTCACTCCACTCTGGGGCCAGCCAGAGGTGATATTTGCCAGTTCTCTGAACTACTCAAAATTTCCGCTACCAGTTCTCCAGAACCTGTCAGAACTTGCTGGATTTCACCCCTGCTCTGTGGAATGAAAGAGCAAGCCTTATTTGTGGTGCCTCTTGTTCCCTGGAAATTGGATGTATGAAATATCTATCAATCTTTCCAACAGACTGTTGTTTAAATGTTTTGTGGTGTTGTTTAATTAGCATATAACTAAGTTATGACAATGTAACTTTTACATTTTTATAGATCTCAAAGTTGTTCAGCATATACTGTATTTGATTGATTTAAACATAATCTGCATTTCAGTCTAACTGTTTAGGGCTTTTTGGTTTTAAGATGATAACTTACAGAATAATTACCAATATAACAATAAAACAATCTTGCTAAAATTCATTGGCTTACTGTACATAAATGCTTTGGGGTTGTTTTTTTTTTCTTTTAAATAGCACATCTCAGAGTTTAGACTTAAAAATTAAAATTCTGAGTCAAATGCTAAGCTAAAAGAGAAACATTTGCATGAATAAAAGTGACAATGACTTCTGCCAGATTTTTCAAGCGTTTTGTGAAATGTTGCTTTAGCAAAGAAAAATCTTTCAAAATATTAACAAAACCTAACATTTGAGTTATATTGCAAACTGAGCAAAGAAATGTGCTAGATGTAGCAATCTGTCATTATATGTTACAATTATAAATAAGCAAGCTAAAGGAAAATTTGTTTATAGATAGACTTCAACTGACAACCACGATTAGAACTAGAATTTCCGTTGCTATGTGGGTCATACCTGATTTTATTATCTTTTTTGCCCTTGTTATTAAATGAATCACTGCAATTGTTAAATGAATTACATGGTCATTAAAGTGAACCCATCTTCCCCCATTGAGTTGGCTTATCAGCAGCCAGCTGGATAGGACACAAATGATGATCATGTGACCTTGGGACACTGCAATGTTGTAAATACATGCTCACTGTCAAGTGCCTGAATTTTGATCACATGACATGGGTGATGCTGCATATAGGTGTACATGCAAGGATCAAATTGTAAGTTACTTCGATGCCATTGTAACCTCAGCTGCTCCACAAATGGTTGTAAATCAAGGATTACCTCTATATATTACCAGGTTTCAGTAAGAGCTGTTAATAAATAATTAAGAGCATATTCCCATACATGATCAATTCTTTCAATATGTAAACAATACTAGCAATACTTCTGTAAAAAAAATAAAAATATATAATTAAATATTGTTACTACTTTGCAGAACAATCTATAGTATCATAATGCTTAAATCACCATTCATGATTTAAAAAAAAGTTTTCTTTATACTGAAAAGCAGAAAATGGATTTCTCTGCAGTGAAGATAGAAGGACTTCATGACAGCACTTTGGGTAATGTGTTTATAAATAAAAGTTGCTTTGTCTTAGATCGTTATCACTGATAAAGAAGAGCATTCTAGGGAAGATAGATTTGATAAATT